TCCTTTGGTATGCCAGAAACTCACAATGACATCAACGTGCTGCAGTGCTCTCCTGTTTTTGCCAAGCTCGTTGAGGGCCATTCTCCTCCGGTGAACTTCGAGATCAATGGGTACCAATACAACAAGGGGTACTATCTAGCTGACGGCATCTATCCGAGATGGTCGACATTTGTGAAGACGATCTCAAACCCTATGGCAGGAGGCAAGAACGCCTGGTTTGCGAAGGTTCAGGAGGCTTGCAGGAAGGATGTCGAGCGGGCATTTGGTGTGCTCCAATCTCGATTCGCTGTTGTTCGGTACCCCGCTCAGACCTGGTCGAAAGATCAAATGTGGGATATCATGACTTGCTGTGTCATCTTGCACAACATGATCATCGAGAGCGAGCAAGAAGACCCAATGTTTGACACTGAACCATACTACAGGCAGGGTCCTCTAGCCGAAGTTGATCACCAGCTACCGGCAACTTGGACTGCCTATCTCAGTATGCGTCAGGAGATCCGAGACCCACAGGTGCATCATCAACTGCAGAAAGATCTGATTGAGCACCTATGGAGGCTCAAGGGGGATGCCGCGTGATGAAATACGAGTTTTTATTTGTTGAACTATATAATTTGTATTGAACTATTTGTTGTTGTAGTATTTTGTTGAAGTATTTGATTTTTCTGTGATGAAATATGTGTGTGTTGATAATTGAACGCCGAAACCACGCAGAATATGGGCCTATTCTCGCCCATATGGACCGTTTATTCGCCGAAAATGGCTGCAAAGTGGGCCAATTTCGGCGCCTGGGGGCGGCTGGGGGCGACGACTGGGCGCAAAACCACCCCCAGCGCCGAGTGTGTTGCCGGCTCGCCCCCAGGCGGCGCTTTTAGACGCCCCCTGGGGTCCAACGGCTGGAGATGCCCTTACACACATGCGCACAGAAACTTCACTTCCCTTCCCACCGGCACATTGACAAATATTCCAGAGAGCTGGTATCTCAACTGCGTCGGAATAATGTCAACCTCAGGAAAGTTTACAGCATAATCGACACATTTTTTGGGTGTATAGAGAATGTTCCTTTCACCAAGAGATGCCTGAGGACCTTGTGCGCGAAACTAAGCAGAGACCAGGGAAATGAAGATGCTAAGAAGACAATGGATTATTTTGCAGAGCTCAAGCAGTCTGACCCTGAATTCACTTATACAGTCTGACCCTGATATAACCAGATCTTGCAGTGCATGCTCAAGCCTATGGCATGGCCGCCCCGATTTGGTGTCTGGTTGGAATGGAATCGATTTGTGCTGACATGTGTAGGGGGGTGGTGTTTATAATTGGAGGAAGCAAGCGTGTGGGGATAGCTGGTCGGCGAGATTGATGGTTGTACAGATGCATTTACATCTGTTCAAGCAGGCTTTTGGGCAGGGAATTGTTGACTTGGGGGGGAGATGTTATTTATTGAGAAGCGGCTACAACGTGACGTGGAACAGCGGTTGGACGTAAATAATGAACATTAATGTCGGCGTTAATTTGGAAAATGAGGAGTGATAGTGAAGTGAGGTAATCGATTAGGTGGATAATGAAAAATAAATATATCATACATCCGATCACGAATATATCAAGGGGGTACAAGTTGTGATACATGATTACAACATCTAATCAGAGGGTGGATAAATATAAAAACATAATTTGCTGGTGGATGACAACTAGTTATAGACAATACAGATAAACATATTTATTCATTGGTAAGCGGCTTGAACTTGAAGGACAGGCACGAGTCGGGAGAGGTCATGGCGGCTCCAAGCGACCTTGCAGCATACGAAGAACAGAGCGAGCAAATTGACTAGGAGGAGAGCGATGATGATGCGGTGGAATTTCGTGTCTTCGCGGGCCGAGACGGTGAACAGCCTCGGCCACTTGGCACGTACGACGTTTATGTTGTTCTCCTCCCATTTCCAAAAGTTGCACTTGCGAGTCTTGCAAAAACGAAAGAAAAAATTAAGATGGGATATCGCACTAGGACTGGATAGAACAGAAAAATTGAAAAAAGTATTAGGACATACTCATTTGTGCTCGCACTTGTAAAAGTGCTTGCCTGGATTGTTTGTGGTGCGAGAGACCCACCACTGAACCATCCCATTGTTGCAGGAAGGGCAAATCATGAGTGGAAGTGGTGGCTGCTCCTCAAGAGAAACAAGGGGGGAGCTAGAGAAACAAGGGGGAGCTGGAGCTTGACATGGGAGCGCTTGAGCTAGACATGGCAATGCGAACCATGTACAAGGGAGGAAGCTGTTCTTGATGGTGTATATGAACTGTTCTTGATGGTATGATATGCAGTAGTGAGGAAGCTGCAAGTTGCAAGTATTTTATATCTAACGAGAGGAGGAAGATGACCGTTGTTAGTGAGGAACTGAGGATTGAGCCGTTGCGAGAAATTGAGGAGCGTGTGCATTAAATTCATATGGGTAGTTGGGAGTTGGTGGATGAGAGGTGGAGAAGGACAGGAGGATGTGACTTTGTCTGGACGAGGGGAGAAAGCGCGTTGAACTGTTCAAGTGATATACCATGCTGTAGAAATGAATACTAGATGTTAAATGGTGTGAATACGACGCAGCTAATAGCAAGTCCGAATCCCAATGCTAGTGGATGGGATGGATTATAGTGAGGGGAGTCGCTGAGAGCTCCTAGGCATTTTCGGGGTATGGTACGCATACTAGCATAGCACCCGTCTCTATCGCTGGCGCGCATGCGGAGGAGCTCCCGCCTACTTTGCTACATGGCACACTTTTTTTTCCGAAACAGGGACACGGCGCATGTGGAGGAGCCGCTTCGTTGCAAAGTCATGGGAGCGAAGTCTAAAATAAACGTTAAATTTGTACGCCTCGTTGAAATTAGACCCTCATCTTTGAATCCCTGAAGTTGATACCATGTACTATTAGATCCTGGTTGGAGCATGTCTCGAAGAAGTGAAGGACCTGTGGTGCTCTAGGATGGCTAGGGCGACTTCGGTAGCGACCGCGGCGGCGCCCGCGCTCGTCGGCGGGGGCTCCTCGGCCGCTCCCTTCCTTGTCGGCGCCCCCCGGCGCCCCCCCTTGTTGCCCCTCTGCTCCAGCTTCGCCCGTCCCCTCCTACTCATCGCCTCTCCTCTTCTCTCCGCCGCGGTTCTCTGTAGAGGGCCCCGCCCTAGCTATGCCTGGCCGGACTTGCTGGGCCGACTGGGCAGCAAGGAGGATCTAGTCGAGGCTGCGGCTGCTGTTGCGGGGTTTCTCCGACACCCTCACCGGTTTGGCGATCGACTGGCGGAGATCGCCGCAGATGATTTGGCGGCGGCGGCCTCGACCCCCTCACCTCCCCTCCTCCCCCTTCCTCTGCCTGGCCTCACGCCCATCGCGCACTACCTTCCCCACCGCCGCCGGACGTTGGCCGCGAGGCTGGCCGACGTGGCACTGGGCTTGAGCCCGTGCTTGGGGGGTGGCCGGAAGGTCGTAGGTGGGTCCCGCGGCGGTCTCGTGGCGGCGCATCTCGCCAGAGTTGGGCCCCTTGGAATCCATGCCGGTGCCGGAGCGCCCGGTGGATGCCGTGGTGGTGGCCCGGGGGCCAAAGTTCCGATCTTTCCGCCCTTCCGCGGCGGCACCGGCCGGCGACTTGGTGGCGGCGGCGGCGAGACCCTGGTAAGACCTAGCTCCTTCCCTCCCTCCTCTTCTGGATGGGCTGGGCCATCCCAGGCCTATTGGGCCGTCTGGGACAGGGGAGAATCCTGGGTCGTCTCGGGTCTTCGATGCTGGGCCTTCTCGCATTAGCCTCTCTCCGTCCCCATGGGCCGTGGCCCAGGTCCAGCTGGACGACTCACCCTCACCCTCCTTAGGGTTTGACCTGGTGCAGCCGCTCCTCCCACCGACCCGTCCCCTCCCTGCGCCGCAATCGCACTCCCTCCCAATCCCTCGCGTCTCCTCCTCTTCCCCACTGTGTCGGCTGCCATGGTTCGTGAGATGGGGAATGGGCCCCTCGCCCCAAAAGACGCGCCGGTGGCCGGGACGCACCTCCTCCGTCGGATGCGCGGCCGCCCACCGCCGGACGGCTCTCGGAGGGAGGCGGAACTCCAGGAAGCCATGCTCCACAGCAAGAGCTCGACCGCTGCCGATGGCGCCAACTGGCGCTCCTCTCGGGCCCGGGATGGCTCTCCCGAGGAGTGGCGTGGTTGCGGCCGGGACTGAGACCGGTG